AAATTGCATGTCACAACAAAGACATTATCGATCTGCATTAAATGCATTACATGTAAAACGAGTTTACTTTCATAAAAGTTATTAATAATAACCATTAAGAATAATTGTATTCGGGCTATCAAATTTTATTCGAAAACTATGTTATAATAGCTCAGAAGGTTTAAGTGCATCCATTAGCTTTACGCTTTTGTAATCAGTAGTTTACGAGAATTATAGTCTATATACCAATATCCATTATCTTAAGAATGTTAATTTAAACATTTAAACGTGACTTAATAAAAGAATAGACAGAGCTTTCCATCACAGAAGCGAGTATCTGCCCCGAAAATCTGTACACATGGAGAATATACATTTTATCTACAAAATTTCTCGTATATACGGGATCAGTTACACCGAAGAACAGAATATACAGGAAACAAATCTACAATCCAAGTTACACGTAATCTATCAGTACATTATCGGAATTTTTCTTTGTTTTAATCTTTTATTGTTTTCTTTTTCTATGTTTGGCGTTGATATAATTTGTAAAGAATGCGTAAAATTGTTATCAAATTCAAATACTCTCTTATTATCGATTGAAATTATGATATTTGTATTTCAGATTTTCGTTTTCGGTTTTTTTCGTAGAAATAGTTTTCCGGATCCGAACGAATATCTTTTTGCTATCGATTATAATGTCGCTGTAAAAGTGCTTATTCTGTCTATTCTCGTATTTCTTATTTGGTTAACTTTAATTGTAAGTGAAATGTTATACGTAGATTTCTATCTTTATCCTAGTTTCACAAAAGCATCTTTACTGGAAATTCTTTTCTGTCATATAAGTACATCTCTTGTATTTATATACGGAAGTGGTATTTCCCTGAGCTTTCCCTTAATTTCGACGATAATAGGTATTTCGTTACATAATTCATTTCAGCGTTTGCAGCGGTTTTTCAATCGAATCGTTAGAAAAGTAAACAGAAATGCTGGTCAATTTGAAAAAGTCATTTAGAAGCACTTTCATTTATGGTTTTTCATTCAGAAAATTAATGAAACTGGACAGATTCTTTTTCCCATTTGTTACGGCTTTTGTATTTATATTACTTGCTTTTCTTTGTTCATTGCAATGATGTTTGATTTACATANAGTATTTTATCGTAACTTTTCTTTGTTTTAATCTTTTATTGTTTTCTTTTTCCATGTTTGGCATTGATATAATTTGTAAAGAATGCGTAAAATTGTTATCAAATTCAAATACCCTCTTATTATCGATTGAAATTATGATACTTGTATTTTACATTTTCCTTTTCGGTTTTTTTCGTAGAAATAGTTTTCCGGATCCGAACGAATATGTTTTTGCTATCGATTATAATGTCGCTGGAAAAGTGCTTATTCTGTCTATTCTCGTATTTCTTATTTGGTTAACTTTAATTGTAAGTGAAATGTTATACGTCGATTTGTATCTTTATCCTAGTTTTACAAACGCATCTTTACTGGAAATTCTTTTCTGTCATATAAATACATCTCTTGTATTTATATACAGAAATAGTTTTTTTCTGAGCTTTGCCTTAATTTTGATCATAACAGGTATTTCCTTACATCATTCATTTCAGCGTTTGCAACATATTTTCATTCAAATCGTTGGAAAAGTAAACAGAAATGCTCATCAATTTGAAAAAGTCATTTGGAAGCACTTTCAATTATGGTTTTTCATTCAGAAAATAAATGAAACTGGACAGATTCTTTTTCCCATGTTTTATGGCTTTTGCATTTATTTTACTTGCTTTTCTTTGTTCATTGCAATGATGTTTGATTTACAAGCAGGTATGAAAATATTTTGGGTAATCTTGTCTATTCTATTGATATTTGTAGTCCTTTCAATTGCTTACGGACTATCCAGAGTTACTGCAGCGGTTAGTATATGTCTATTATTATATTTAATATTGTTAATTAATTAATTTTATTGAATAATAAAACGCTTTCTATTTGTTTCAGGTTTATGGTAATTACTGTGATTGCAACGTTCTTTCTAATGTTGAGTTTTCTCTTATCTACAAGTTGAAGGTAACACGATTTTTATTTCTTATAACAATAGACGTCGTGTTGAAGTGTCTCTTTTGTGTCTTAGATCTTGAACTTCATGAAAAGATTTGCGAAATTTAAAATTGGTGTGAATTTCGGAGGATTCTTTTTCATAAAAAAAAACATTCGTTATGAGAGTAAGTTATTGCTTTAAAATATTATTATAGTTTCTAACAACAATTTACCGATTAAATATAGAAAATAGATTTTGAAAATATGGCTATTAATTAAATTAATTGACGTTGTCGAATTTAACTTTATTTATTATTTTGCTTAATAGAAATAATAATAATAAAAAATAGAAAAAAATTTTAAAACCGAGTAGCTTATCATTCCCAGCTATTACAAATAATAATTTGTAGATTTCTTATATTACTGTATTGATTATTACGAAATGGCAAATACTATACTGTATTCGAATTTTGAGGGTAGAAATGAGTTTTATAAACGTTGTAAATTTTAATAAAGATTAAACTCGTGAGTCGTCTCCGTGCAGATATGACATATTACTCTTTATATCTCGCCATAGTCTATTCCTTTCACTACCAAAATCTTATATTATTAATGCTAGTTATAGGCAGTCTACTATGTAAAATTGAACTTCTTAATCATTAACGTATTCTGACGCTAACACACATGCAGATAAGCACACGCACACGTTTACACATTAATTCACGAATATTTTTCCATGCTATTTTGGACTTAGAAAGTGACATAAAGACGAAGACTCTCAAAAATTTCTTTGGGTCAATTTGACACAATTTAAAAAATTTTACGTGTTATATACAACAATTTCCCAGTAAATATTTAATATTGATTTATACTTAGGAGAATGGACAGGACAGACGAAAACTCAGGTACAGGTACATCAATTTCGTATACATTTATTATAGCGTATTGTTATTCTTTTCTATGGTTTGTGAAAGAATGAAAACTACTTTCTTTGCTTTGGTTTCATAACTCTTTGTTGTGAGTCAAGAAGATTAAGTAGTTGGTAGGGCGGCCGAAATGGTTATCGTCTTCACCTAAATTCTGAGCCACAGATAATTAGATCGATAGAAAAATTCCAGGAATTCATATGTGGTTCATCTGTCATGCTCTCATGTTAAGTCTGGCCGAACCACAATAGGAGTGATGATAAGTTCATCTTACAGTCTACAGGGTGGGAAGAATGAAAACTAAAAATAATGAAAGCTTTCAATGTTTAAAAAAAAATATAATTTTATATTTGAAGTTGTAAGCTTATTATAAATATGATTATTTTTATTTTCAGCTAATCAGTGCAGTTTACTCACTGCTGAATTCTCTTATTGAATTAGAAAGATCGACAAATATGAAGAAATGCAGACACGTGTTTAGTAAAAATGGAAATTTATATTTGAAGTTGTAAGCTTATTATAAATATGATTATTTCTATTTTCAGCTAATCAGTGCAGTTTACTCACTGCTGAATTCTCTTATTGAATTAGAAAGATCGACAAATATGAAGAAATGCAGACACGTGTTGAGTAAAACTGGAAATTTCTCTATGACTAACAGAGACACATACTACAAATAAATATTTTGATATTTCTAAGCAAATGATGTTTTTTGTCGCTTTTTTCTTAATTCTATAGAATATTAGGTAGAAAAAAATAAAAAAGTATGTCAACGCTAACGTTGTTACTCGGTTTTCTGCTGTTCTAGGCAATTGATGTTCGAAGTAGAATATCTTCTTTTAATTTACGAATTAAGAAGAAAGCGAAGTTATACGTTTATAAGTTGAATCTTCATAAAATAATTAATAATGTTCTTTTGTTTGATGTAATAATTACGAATGTACGCACTGATAATCCTGTATTGTAATTAGACAATTGTTATTTAAAAATACTTATTGATTGACAAATAGCTGCAATTAGACTCTGATCACCGTCAGACTCAAGTCCATTCAGTAGAATATTTCACAAAACTTTAAATTGTGGAACGAAATTGAAGAATATATCACTACAAGTATGTTTTTCCCTGTGATGATTAGGTTTATGTTTTAGAAATGTTACATTTTGAAGTAAATCATAAAATAGCTATTGCAGTTACAATATATCGGCATCCAAATAGATGGATTTCTCGGGTATTACAATATATCTTAAATCTTAAAATTGTTTGTAAAGTTACAATGTCGAAATTGCAAGAATAACGATGCATCTGTAAGAAAACCAAAAATGCTTGGCTACAAATGTAAACATAGGGTGCATTCAGGTGGCAAGCAGCTAAGCAAGCTAATGGTATACTTTGTTTCATATCAAATGGATGCTGTCGTTGGCTTGCTTGTTTCGCTACTCGCCATGTATACATTTGAATCTTGTCTTTCGATCATACTGCCTTGATGATCGATACGTAAAGTAACAGCGAAAGTTTCAGAAATATGCAATCGTTAAATCAGAGAATAAAATTTATCTATTGTATTTCGAAGTCACCGATAAGGGTTTTGTACTTTTGTAACTCTCAGTCAGATGGACAATAAGAGGGACTGTATACTATATTTATCATAGGTTTGACCAGGCCGACTATGGAGAGGTCGGTTGTGAAAGACGGGTTTTTCAATATCCAAGACACGCTTCCCATTAGTGGCGTATTGTCCAGTGAAGCTATGGAAGCCTCGCTTCTCTTGTACTTTCCAAAATATAAATACATATTGTGGATTTATTGTTATGTTTTAAAGTTGTAGAATTTTGTTTAAAGTTGTAGAATTTCGTCGGATGGCAAAACTTAATAAAAGACACAGTCGATCCAAAAAATGTTTTTGTATTTGTATTTGATCCAGAAACGCATTTTCCCCGTGGATATAAAAGTCGGAAATTCCGGAATGGAAAAGGACGAAGAAACCTGAAGACGCCGAAAAATCCGCCAGTTCCAAATTTTTAATTTTATATATTTAATTGGATAATTTCTGTGTTTTTTAGGAATGGTTTAACTGGATGGCCGAGTAGCCTATAAAGGAAGGTCTTGTCGTCTAAAGTTTTATTCTAGAACACGTGATAAAAATAAATGGTGATTACCACGTAAAAATCTTCAGAATTTTTATCAATTTTAAATGTTAATAATTTTTAAATATTATTAAAAAAAACAATTTTCTGAGACGAGTTTTAATATTTGAAGTAAATTTTACAGAGAATTTTTTGATTTATTTAAATTACGTAGTGAATTGCAATATTTAGGCTATATTCATGGCCAGACTATATTGGCAAGTCACTCTTAGACATAAAATATATTATAATTAGTGACGATGTGAGCAAAGATGTAATAAAAGAATTATATGGTTTAATGTCATTAATTTTTACTGTACCAGTGCTATGTTGAGCGCAGGTTTTCAACCACGAAGCGAATTGTTACTGTTACATTCGAAAGGAACACAGTCAGAGGAAAGATTGTCGTCACTACCGTTGCCTTCAATAGAAAATAAGCTTTTAAATACTTTGATAGAGTCAACGACGAATGATCTTTATGTTAAATAATTGATGATTTTGCGGAAAAACATTGCCGAATAGAGTCAGTTTATAAAAAATAATAAAGACAAGTTTTTGTATCTTTGTTTCGTGTCAATGTATGTATTTTAGAATTAAACTAAATAAGCTGTTTATTTTTGTTATTTCCAATATTTGTTTAAACTTTTTATGGAAACACTGCCTTCCTATCATTAAATGCCATCGCACCTTACTGCTTTTCATTAAAAAAAACTGCATGGGCTTTTGCAAGACTTTCACGGCTTTCAAACAGGAGAATTAAAGAAACCAGGAACAATTATGGTTATTTTAAATTATACTACCACATAAAATTTAAATAATAACAAATGTTAAAGAAATTGTGAGATTCGAAAGGAAAGCAATTAAATAATTAAAATAATTGGTTGTATGTTTTGACGATGAGAGAGGATCGAGTCAAAGGTCGAGTAGAGGAAAAATAACCAAGTGGAAAAACCCACACACATCCTATTTCATTCGATTTTTTAATAGATAAGACCGATCGAATATTTCTCCAATTTAACAATTATTACTGAATTTTAACACAAACACTGACCTTAGTCACTACTGTCCATTAATTTAGTATGTTAACCATAAATTTGTCGAAAGTTTCGATTCCTGACAATTAACATAAACAACACTCAGACACAGATCGAACTTACACCACTTTTGCATCAGAATCCCCTCGGTCAGCTCCCTTTTGGGAATAGTATAAAAAGAGGTCGCACCCGCACCTCGACCGATTATCAATAAAAAGTCTCCATGCCGGTAACTGTATTCGAACCTCCGCTCCATGAACCGCTCGAGACTTAATCGCCGTACCTTTCCCGACAACCTCCACGGTCCACGATAGTCCTGACGACGTCGTACAAAGAAAACATGATTTATTAGTCGTATTTTTAGCCTAATTGTACACTATCTCTCGGAGATTTTAGGAAATAGCAAGCAACACACGCGTACTCTCCACTCGATTAAAAAGCCCTCCTAACCATTCCCTGAGGAGAAGCCGGTAAGAAGTGGCAGGAGCTAACCTCTCGACCCCCTCGGTTCTCACAAAATAATTTTGTTGAATTAAGAGAAATTTTCTATTTAATAGAAAATAGTTAAGAATAAATTATTAATATTACAGGGAAGCATGGAAAAGCTCAGTATTAAAGTAGTGTGTCGAGTCATCTGTTACGATATTTTATTGAAAATAAAATAAAATAAATGCCATCTATACACTGCTATATAGCGGGGATTTGCTGCTATTATCACAAAGGTATTTTTCTAAATTCCTAAATATTTGGTCCACGGGGATCTGTGATATAAAACAAAATACTTTAACACAAATCTTGAAAGGTCTTTTATGGGAAACTGCTATCTATTTAGGTGTCATAAACGTGAAGAAAACTGCGAAAAATTCTACGTGACCAGCCCATTGGCGAGGAGCGAACCCACGACTAAATAAGTTACCAGTGTTCGGTGGTTATATCGACTCGGCCAGTGGACACTGGTGGGCACATTTGGAAAGTATGCAGGAAACAAAAACATATACAGGGTGAGTCAAATTGATTCATCCTGTATATGTTTTTAATTAATACAATGTACAGTACAATCTTGCAAATAAACAAATGTTTTCTTTCCATTAAATTCACTTTACTTCCAATAATCCGGCAAACTTCTTATTGAATCCGATTCTGTTTCGGTTTCAAATATTACGGATTACCGAGATTGTATTGTATTGTATTTAAGAACAAAACTGATTCTAAAAAAAAAACATGTTATTTTATTTATTTAAGAGAGTTTTATCATCATTTGCAAACTTAAAAAATTACAATAATGAAATTTTCTCAGTAATTTTCTCTATTTTATGATTAGTAAAGAATATATAATTAAACCATTATCCAGATGTAGAATAAAACTTTATAGCACTATAAAATAATTTTAAAACGTTAATTAGACTCGAAAAGAATGAATAATGCATAAAAAAACTGTCGAAAATTTATACGTCAATATTTTATTTTACATTTTTGTGTATTCGAATAATAATCATTATTAATTTACTTATGATTTAGACAATCGAAATTGTTAATAAAAAATATGCTTTTTATTAAATAATTATAAAAATTGTATAAAAATTATGTTTTAAGTATTTCTTATAACATTAACAATCATAATTTATAGACATTAAACCCCAAATTACAATAAAAAATGTTTTTAATTTAAGCGCAACGAATGGCCAGCAGCTGCCAAACAAAGAATATTTACCGAAATTCGTATGAATAGCTCTGTAATATTCTATATATAATTTTATAAAATATAAAATAAAATGAATAAAAGTTACAAATTATGTGTAAAATTTTGTAAGTTATTTAATTATTTTTTAATATTTTTTTCTTTTAATTAAAATAATAAAAGAGGATCAACTACTGTATTCAGTAGTGCCCAAATTGCTGCCTTCAGGGTCAAACTGGCCTGCGAAATACTTCACACATCATTTATGAATAGGGCCACATTTTGTATATTTGTAATAATAATATATTACAAATATACAAAAAGTGGCCCTATTTATAAATGATGTGTGAATGTATTTAATGTGTATATATATATATATATATATATATACACACATTAAATACATTTCCAGTTCCAGGAAAGCGATCTTAATTTATAATATTATAACATTGATATCATGAGTAATAAAAGAGTCTAATTTTGTGGATTTTTGATAGGAACCAATTAAACCATAAGAATGACATCTACTATTATGTAATGAATTGATAATTCTCTGTTTTATCATGATGAATTGAACGATATGCGTAAGAGAAGCAAAGTTTTTGAATCTTAAATGCAAATTGAAACTTTATCCTAATATGGCGGAACATCCTGTTCGTACTGAATCTGCGTAGTGAAAGTACACATGTATATTAGATAATTTGGCTTATTATCAGTCTATAAAATGTAAGCAAACTGCATGAATCAGTTCACAATTTTTCACCATCTAACAGGTAAGATATATCAAGTTAAAATATCTAGAATAACCTAGTAAGTTAATTAACTTTCCTAAGTGAAAAATACATTAATTTCTATATAACGAAATAAATACTATAGGCTATAAAATATTCTTATTGTTATCTTAGGAGAATAGAACAGCAGGAATGATTTACATCTTCATAATTTCTTTGATGTGTGTTGTGTTCGAAGTTAATGCTTACAAAGCGAGTTTAAAAGTTCCTAAAGTTGATGGTAAGTTTAATTTTTAGATGTTTATTATAATTTAAAACATTAAATTTATTAAATTTAAAATAAAAATTTTGTATTTGAAATAAATTCTCCAATCGTGCAATTTTCATTTAAACAAATTAAAATGTGTATTTCATCAAAAATCATGTTGCACAGTCATGTTATTTAACGAAACATTCCAGGATCAATTTTTAAAAAATCCAGCAAGAGTTGCCTAACTTTCTTTGCAACATTTAAAACTGCGTGTGATGCCATCTGTTATGATATTTTATTAATAAAACCTTTTTATTTTATTTATTATTATAAAATGGCAAAAAGCTTAATATCGAGGGAAGGGATGGGTTTTATTAAAAAAAAACTGTAAATGCTAATAACGAGTAAAATCATCATTAAGTCTGACATTATTCGAGATATGATACACGACTCCCCTTTATCTCTCCACCCGATCGAACTTTGACCAACAAAATTTCACAGCATCAACTCCCCTAATACACAGACCATCCTGCAAAATTTCAAAGGTTCTCGACAAAAAATCACAGCTTCAAAGAGGGTAAACATAATCGTGCAACACACATACTAAAAACCATACATACAGAAAAATACCCCTCAATTCGACGTCTCAAGGTGTCCTGACCCCAAAAATGTAAAAATTTTGGAGGACCTTCATCGATCGACAGCCATAGTTTCTCTCTCTATACCTATATACATAGTATAATAGACGGAAAGTCTATTTCTTCTGACTATTAACAATAGATTTTTACCCCTAAGATCTCATTGTCATAAGATCTCTCGTGTTCAACTTTACTTAAGCACATTATTCTTTCAATTGCTTATTGAATGGCTTTCAAAATTCGCTCCTCATGTTGGCTATATGAAAAATTAATAAGAAAGTTAATTTATTTAAAAATTTAATTTATATATACATATATTTTTTTCAAATTTAAATAGGAAAATGCAAGATTAATGGGAAATTGTTTACACCTGGAGAAGAATATATGGATGAACAAAACTGTGAAGTATGGACTTGTTTGAACAGTTCACCAATAAGAAATGGTATAGTTGATATGGAACATGCTAACGTCGATGTATCAGGGTAAGAAATTCTGTTAAATATTACTTTTTATGAGCTTTTAAATAACGATGTATGTTCTATTAAAACAGATGCGGGACAGCAGTGATGATGATCGATGATGATACTGTTTGCCGCTATAAAAGCACCACAGGAAAATATCCGGATTGCTGTTTTGGAGAATTAGATTGTAACAAGGAAGAGTATAACAGTATATTCGATTCCAAATAAATATATCTAAAATACATGTTAATGACCAAACAGAAGGTACTACGGTATGTCTTATATAAACTTAATTCTAATGTCTTAAAGATAACATGTATACTATGTAATGTTGAGTAAAATTATTCATCAAATATTCAATAAACGTTATTAAAACCGATGTGAGTCAGTGTGTAGAATATGATTAAACTTTAAAAAATTTAATTTTGTGTACATAGTTTATTGATATAGAATGTTTCTAAATGTTAATAAAATCCATAACTGTCATGTGTCAAGATGAACAAAAGACCCATGTAAAACAAATTCGAAAACGAATAATTCTCGGGTTTCTTGTACATATGTAATTTTAACGGTTGTTTACTTCAAACAACCATTAGAAATGGTCCAACTATACATTAATTTCAAATACAAAAAAATTGTAATGTGCTCTAAATTTTTGAAAAGTTAGCGTAAATATTTTTTTTAAATGTTCAAAAATGTTCTCTGCTTATTTTGATTTAGTGATGGAAGTGTTTTTAATCGAAAGGAATATCTCATTTCGCAAAACTCTCATTAGGCCAAGTGTTATATAATGCAGGTTATATAAGTATCTGTATTCAGCATACATACATACATAAAAATATACATATTTAGGTAAGTGCCTTTATTGAAAAAAAAAAAAAAACACAAAAGAAACTGTTGTAACTAAAACTCATGGCATGAAAATTAAACTGGTCACATCATTACCGTTTGCTTCGTATGTGCGGATGTGAAAATAAATTGCATAGAGTTATTGTTTCACTGTTAAGAAGATTAAACTGAAGATATTAATTAAATTTTTCAAGCTGTACTAGAAAACACAAAATGCCGCTGATAACTTCTCTGTGTTCTTATGCATATTTTTCCTCCCAGCTTTATTAATTGGTCTTTTCTTGCGTTGAATTAAATGCTACTTGATCACTTTCCTGTCTACATTCTTCATTGTTCACCTCATAATAAACTGAAACTTTCAGATAATCCCAAATATAACAATCAATTGAATTTTATCGACCTTCCTGAAACACACTTTATATTTATATATATATATATATAAATTTTCAAACAATAGCACTATACAAATATAATTTACCTACAAATATATATAAAAATGAGATTGTTTGTTTGTTTGTTCTCTATACACAGATAGGCCGTACCACCAATTGCTACGAAACTTGGCAGTTATATTTTTTTAAAATACTTCTAACTTAGATAATGTCGAATATTCCACACGAAAATATTAATTGAATTTTTATATAACAATTAATTTCACATTAACATTAGCTTTTTCTGCAATAAATTTACATGTAGTGCCATCTATTGGCGAGAAATTTTTTAAATATATATTAAAAAAATTTATACAAAAAGAAAGATGTAGCCAACATAGAAACACATTCATTCTATGTTATTGAAGTCACAATGTAAACAAATCTTGTAAAATCATCTGATTTAGTCATTTCTTAAGCAAAATAATCAAGCCGAGGGAGTTTATTTAAAAAACGAACGTTTTCGATCTACTCCATAGATCATCTTCAAGTTGAAAAAAATATGGAATAACCACAAAGAATAGAACATTAAATTCAAAATTCAAAAATATCGACAACTGAGTAACTAAGTAAAATAATTAAAGTGTAAAAGTACCAATTGTAAAAATAAATAACCTCGCGTTTTTTTATGCAGCGCTCGAGAAGCGCTTTAAAGCGAACACACTGAAACTGGTTTCTAATTGGCCAATACTGCTCGTGACGTCATTTCGCTACACTCTCGCTGCATAAAAAAACGCGGGGTAACATACAACAATAAATAAGTAATAGCCATTAACAGTTAACAAAAATTATAAATGTTTTCATAACGTAAATTACGAATCAAGTCGTCATTCATAATCCATTTGTAAGTCTTTTAATAGCAAACTTCCATGCTGAGGGTAGGCCCTCTGCATCTCTGGCGTTTATACATCTATCATCAAGTTTGCTTCTGTATACAGTAGACCCCCTATAACGCGGAGATACGTTCCTCGTTATACGAATTTTGCGTTGTAGGAATCCTTAAATACGTGAGCCAATCACAGCCCGACACGTGTGAAGTTTACAGACTATGGCTGTTTGAAAGGTTTTCTTCCATAAAATTAATCGATTCTACACTAATTCGACTTAACATTTCCAAAACACGTATAATTTTTTGGGAATAATCCGTATAAACTATGCTACAAACGAAAAATTGTAGGATTACTTACCGAGTGTGCACCGTTCGACGTCGCCATTGCTTAAGCTTGTTTTCGTCGCGGATCAGCGCACCAAACTGCGGCCGCGATTTCTGTTGTTATTTTTCTGCGAAAACTTCGTTGAACTTTGGAGACATCATTAATTTAAATAATTTTAATGGCCGTTGAATAAAAAATGTTTCTTTCACAAGAAATGTATAAAATTACAGTACTGTATTAGACTTACGGTACCTAATTTACATACTGTACAGACGATAGTAGACAACTTACTCGCCTAAACTCTCCTTAGCGTGGCGCTAGACGGTGGAAAGTATATATATATATAAATAAATAAAAAGACAGTCAATTCCAAAAAATTTTTGTTAAAACTTTGGTCGATCACCTTTTATTTCCGTTAAAATTCCAGGATAAACTTCAGCAACTGGACCTTCCTTTTTAGGCTACACGGTCGCCTATAAACAGTCCTTTAAAATACAGAAATAATCCAATAAAACCTTGTAAAAAAGTTGTAAAAAATTGGAGTTGGTGATCTTTCGACGTCTTTAGGTTTTCATCCTTCTTCCATTCGGGAGTTTCGGATCCTTATATTTACTCAAGGAATGCGCTGTTAAATGTAAATTGTCCTTATTCTCCTCCTGGC